TATTATTATTATTATTATTATTATTATTGGCTCAGACCTGGACCAGAATGGCCCTTCCAATTCTACGATTCTACTGGGAGTGCCATCAAACTGCTCTCACGACTCCTAAAAAAGCCACGTCTACCCTTGCTTTTTGTGACCCTTCTCCAACCTAACCCACTTTAAAGGGATGAGCCGATTTCACCGGAAGAGAGCCTCCGCCGCCTACCTTGTTCATATCGAAGGTGTGGAACATCTGCTCTATGTACTGGTTGGCTTCAGGGTCCAACCCTCGTAGTCCAAAGAAATGCTTGAATTCGTATTCGGTCAGTTGCCCGGAGGGGCACTCGGTCATGAATTTCTTGTACCAATGGTGGATCTCCAACGTCTGGAGGTCGTCCAGGGTGCTGTTGTCTTGTCCCATCTTCCTGTGGCTGCAAGACGCGGGGAACCTTCGCTGTTCACCTTCTCCCACCTGGTTTTGCTTCGTACAGGACTGGTCTCTCTTTCCTTCTTCCTTTTACTAGAAGCATCCAGACGGAGCAAAGCGAGGCTGGAGGCGGCCGACTTTCCTGAGCCAATTACAGCCTCCTAATCTGGCCTGAGACCCATTTTAGAAGCCTTAGAGCTTCAACAATATAAAGAGGGAATGGAAAAGAGGAGGAGGAGGAGGGATAATCCAAGGAAAGCAGACCTGTTATTTTGGGGAACAAAACCCACAAAAGGTTGAGAGGGTTAAGCAGCTATTGGCACTGCAAGCTGACCTCCAACTGCTCCAGACGTTGTTTTTGACTCACGCTACTGCTATTCTCAGCTCTCCATCAATATTCTTGGGACATCGGTACGTCAAAGAAGGTGGCATTCTTTGGGTTGAGAGATTGCTTGAAGTTATGGGAAGACCACTTAAGGAACTCTTCTAGCAAGGAAAGAGAGAGAGAGAAAGAGAGAGAGAAGCAGGGAAAGTGTGTCTCCATTGATACTCCTTGATTTCTTAGGGTTATTTTGATACAGGTTGAGTCTCCCATATCGGAAATGCATGGGGCCAGAAGTGTTTTGGATTTTGGAATATTTGCATATACGTATTGAGGTATCTTGGAGATGAGACTCGGGTCTAAACGTGACATTCATACGAAATTTATAATTTGTATACACTTTCTACACATAGCCTGAATGTTAAGTTTATACAGTTGTCGCTCCTTATCCACACATTCTTTATCCACAAATTCAAGCATCCAAAGATTGAAAATATTAAAAAAAAGTACAAATTCCAAATAGCAAACCTTGATATTGCCATTTTATATAATGGACACCTTTTTACTCTGCCATTGTATTTAATGGGACTTCAGTATCCATAGATTTTGGTATCCATGGGAGGTCCTGGAACCAAATGCCAAAATTTAAATAATTTTGTGCATGAAGCAAAGTTAGTGTACACTGAACCATTAGAAAGCAAAGGTGCCATTATCTCAGCCCTGCATTAAAAATGGGTTTTGGATTTCGGAATATTTTGGATTTTGGAATTCTAGATAAGGGAGACTCAACTTGTACCATCAATTGTGGTATCCTTCTGGAAGAGCTGTCCATGTTGGGCGCTTGGCACATGGTTTTTGCAGTGGTTCTGCTCCTACCTGGAAAAGCGTTTCAAGGCGACAGTGTTTGCGGAGTTAATTCTAAATCTCAAATGCTATTTAGCTTCTCCATGAAGCTGCTGGATGGGGGTCACCCACAGTTTTGGGGTGCATTGGCACCACTGTGTCACTGACATGAAACTCTGGCCTCTTCCAGATTGGTCCAAAAAAGCATGAGGTTTACACAATATAGCTCCTTAGATTCTGTTGAGTTTTGCCAGTTCTTATCACCTCCGCCTCCTCTTCTTGTTCCCGTTTTTTTGGAGGCTGTTCATAGTGATTTCATGGATCTGCTGCCTCAGAGGATGGTGGAATCTGGGTGTTTTGGGGTTGTTTTTAAAGAGAGGCTGGATCATAGCACCATGAAACCCTAGAATCCTAGAGTTGGAAGAGACCCCAAGGGCCATCCAGTCCAACCCCATCCATTGTTCCGTGTCCTAGTCTCTGGAGTAGCAGCAAACAAGCTTGCTCCATCTTCAATATGACGCCCCTTTAAATACTTAAACAACGCTATCATATAACCCCTTAACCATTTCTTCTCCAGGCTAAACATACCCAGCTCCCAAAGAATCTCCTCATATGGCTTTAGGTTTCCAGACGTTCCAGTATTTTCATCCTCCTCTTCTGGACATGTTCCAGCTGGTCAACAAATCTCTCAAATTGTGATAATAATAATAATAATAATAATAA